GAGTCTTTCCACAGAACTAAAACTACTCTGTGGCGGGAGCAGGGCCACGGACCGGGCTTTTAGACTTGACGGTCTTTTGCTGTTCAGCTCTGAGCTATAACAAAAATTTTCATTTAAATGATAGTTTATCCATTATTCTGTCCGCTAACAATGTGGACTTATAGTAGAATGCTGAGATAATCTGCATAAAGCCAACAGAGGGAGTGATTAATTGATGAATTAGTCAGGAAATTCTCCTGAATGTTTGCTCATTTGTGCAGCAGCAGTGGTTGAACAAGTGTAAATATGACTGGAGGTCATCAATCAAAATCACATCATTGCATTCTTGTAACCATTACCTTGAATTACCTCATGCTCCCATGAATCGTAAGCCAATTAAATAAAGCACAGCATGTTGCAGCAGGCAAAACTGACATATACTTAAACCAACCTTGCTTTTCTTTTTCTTTGCCCTCTTTTATGTAACCTAATACCTGTTCGTGTAGTCCAGGTCTGACTGGCACCTTCATCTGTGCTCGGAAGTCAAGGAGCGTGATTCAGGTTAAACACGCCACACCTAGTTGCCTGTTCATTCATTGATCCATTCATAAATCCAGAGAGAGGTGTGCTGCCCTGTCGCTATGCTGCAATTGGGCGTGAATCTTGCTTTCCCACACATAGCAGGCAGAGAGGTAACCGGATAATGCAGTAGAGCAAATAAGATTAGCTTGGTTATGGTGACCATTGTTTATAATCTTACATGCTAAGCACACATAGATAAACTTAAAAGAACAAAGTGCGCCTGGTTGACAACTTTAATGTAACAGATGACAGCTGATAACTTGGCTACATTAAATTTTTTCCCATACTTGAAAATCCATTTACCACTGAGCGCCTTTTAAATGACTTTTTTTTTTTCCCCACAGTGACCACCTGGGCACCTTCTAATGTTTCCTCAAATGTAGTTTTAGTTAAACAGTTACTAAGAGGTCAGCTTAAGTTTGATTACTCGCCCTTTCCTACAAAAACCTTACACATTCTCCTCATTCTGTCCTACTGTTTCTCCTCCCACAGTCCAGAGAGACATGCCCATCACGTAGACTGCATGCTGGGATAGAGTCCAGCGTGAAATAATACATGATTGTGTTTTTGCCAACAGCTGTCAAAATCCATAATTCCATCACCTGACGCCCACGTAAAAAAATAAATAAATCAAACACTCCAGAAGAAGATGACTGGAGGGATCTGAAGGAGCAGGCCTGAGATGATGGAAAAAGTTTATTGTGAAACCCAGTGTTAGTCACTGCCATGTTTGGTCTTGCTCTTACAGGAGATTGTGCACTGCTCTCTCCAAGGACGCTGCCCTTTCCCAAACAGTTTCCTGTGAGTTCTTGTTTATGTACAGCAGGTGCCATCAGGAAAGGTTATACTGAAAGCAGAACCGCCCCTTTGCATGTTTATTCATTTATTTGCCAACTTTTGTTTGAACTGCACGCATAATTTCCCCTCAAGTTTGGTCTTATTTTCCATTTTCTTTTTTTTTTTCTTTTTTTTTCTTTTTTGTTGGTTTTGGCTCAAAGGAATCTTTCACTTAAAAATTAAGTTTTAGTCATGTCCTGCTCTGCACCATATAAGCAAAGCTCTACTTAAGTTGGAAGAACCACCAAACATATACTGGAGTAACCCAATCTCTGATGATTGACTCAACTGACTCTTTTGCATAAAATGTCCATTAAAAATTTTGTAAAAACTTCAGTGGGGGTTCTGAATGAGTAGATCACTGGGTTTCCAATTCAGAGTGATTTGCATAAACAAAAATCTACAACAATGCTAGAAATTTTCGCTGGAGAAAACCTCATGAGATCAGTGTAGTTGCTAGGATTCATCCTCTGGGGAGCATAAATTTCTGTACAAAATGTAATGGCAATTTCAGCAGTCATTGAGATATTTCAATCTGGGCCAAAATGGGGGACTGAGCAGCCAATGTTGCCATCAACAGAGCGATGCTGCTAGCACCAGAGACAAAAACTTCAGCTTTGTACTTCATGCAGAAGCAGATAAACTGAAAGAAAGATCAAAATGTCTCAAAATTCGACATGTCCGTAATCGGTCTGTCGTCAGTGTGTGCAAAGCTCAGAGTTCTTATGTCAACGCCACCAGTAACATTATCAGATCTAAGAGGTAATGGGCTCTTTATCACACTGCCAGTTCAGCTCATTCAGTTCTGAGCACCAACCCGCCGTCAGCAGCATAAAGCACCTCTCTATTCCCCTCTCTCTCTGTGGAAACTCTATCTGGCTCACATCACTTCCGACCGGGAGGGGACGATACAAAAGACCCCACACACAGACAAACTCGCTCAAACACACACTCATATGTGTGCTCCCGTAGAAGAGCTGCCAAAAGCACCTTAGGGCCAAGAGTGGGACGGTGGGTGCAGCTGCATTTGGGAGGAAGGTCGGAAGAAGACTGCGCCCTTTACACTTCTGCTGGATGAGGATGAGACGATGGCAGACGGCGTCATTTAGGGATAATCCCAGCAGTCTGAATACTTTGCTTTGTTCTGCTGCTCTGAACATGTGCACAGCGTGAAGATCATCTCCTAACTGATTTCTTATATATGCGTTTTTGATATAGTTAAAAATCCTCTTTGTCCATCTGTCTATGCACATACACACTTGTCAAAACATCAAACAGCTGAGGGGGAGTGTGCAGAGGATGTCATGGACAGGGCATAAGATAAAGTCTGACTGTATTCTCTCTTTTCATTCTCCTGTCTCTCAACAGGATCAAATGAGTTGATTTGACTCATGAGTGGACCCCTCAGTTTCAAGGATCCTTCTAACTCCCTGGATCTCAGGTTTGCTGCTGCACCTGTGTTTGCTTGTGGTCTAAATTTCTAAATACAAAAAAAAATTCTCATAATACAGACAGGCTTCTCATTAGCAGGGATGGAGAGACCGGTGCTCGAAGAAAACCTGCTCCAGGGTGCATGTTACCCGAGACTGGGGCGGCAGTTCACCTTTCAGCACCATAATGACCCGAAGCATCTGGCCAAGACAACACTGGAGTGGAGTCCAAACATGTCTCTGACTGAGCTTGAGCGGACCAGCCAAAGTCCTGACTGGAACATCCGTGGAGAAACCTGAAGATGGCAGTTCACACATGCTTCCCATCCAATCTGATGGAGCTTGAGAAGATCTGTCAGGAAGAATGGGATAAACTGTCCAAATCCAGGTATGCAAAGCTTGTAGAGACTTACGCAAGTGACTGGAAGCTGTTGTAGAAGGGCTTCTACAAAGTACTGAAATTTTATCCTTTTAAAATTAAATCTACAACACAATAAAGTGAGCAAAAAGTGAAGGCATGGGAATACTTTCTGAAGCCACCGTATAGCTTTTATTGGGGTTATACATAGCAAATTTAGCTGACACAGACACTGTAGATTTCAATTTTCAGTGCAAACCAAAAGAAAGTAAGTGTACAGTTCCATTTCCCTGGCCTTGTTACTAAAAGCACAGAAATGAGTGTTGAGACACAATCAGACTCCTTGTTACAGTGATGCAATCCTCAAACCCCCCACACAGCAGCCACAGCATGAATAAGGTCTTGTTCACAAGTCTGTAGAGCAAAATCCCCAAAATTACAGAAACTGGAGAGATTCCAGTCTGTGGTTTGTCTGTGTACGACAGAAGGATCAGAATTTGCTGCTGCCAACTCATTTCCTCCAAACATCTAAACCCCTCATACATTTTATTTTGGTAGTAATTTTATTAATATTAAAATGTAGAACGTAGTGTTGATAGTGACCTAGGCTGTTATGATCTTGATCAAATCCAGACTTCTCACAGTCATATGTTGTCACCTCTGTTCCCACAGATGCAAGTGTTGCTGGACAAGGTGACAGGATAAGAAAGTACCTGACTTTCAACACTGAGCAGGAAACCTGGGTTGCAAGGACAGTGTCGCCATCCTCCTCCAAAAACTTCAGCGCACTCAGCCACTATCTCCCACAATGCATTACAAGGGTCTCACTGAGGAGCGTGCATGCTTCCTTTATCTGCAAGACAGGATTCCAGACATTCTGGTTGCCTTGCCTGACGTTGGGCTGACCATGAGCAAATTCCTCCCGCCTGGATACCACCCTGCTGTTACAGTCACCATGTTGTTCACGAGGCAGAGGGTCCTCTGCTGTCAGGTCAGCATGCTGAGGCTGTGACTACAGGCTTTGCTCTAAGCTCTTGCCACTTATTTGCAAATCGTTGCCTGATGCCTAGGAGTAAAGTCAATGTGTGTGACTATTCAGTGTCCTTTCACATTGTGCTGTCAACAGCATGTGCATTGACCCGAGGAAAGTTACCTTGTGCACACAGTCTCTCGACAGCAATAGAAGTCCGTTGCTGTGCCGTGTTCAGGTCTTTGTCATAGCAAACATGTTGAAATGTCCCAGCAGGAAAAGCACAGGTGTAAATCATATAATGAAAGATGGCCGAATTCCATTTAGCTGCTTCGGTTTCAGGGTCCTTGTGTTTTGTTCATGCTGGCTCACTGGAATGCTTAAATTCAACTGAGACATTGTTGTTATTGACACCTGTGCTTTTACTGTTATACTGTAAAAACAGCCAATAGGTCATTAAGTTACCCAAGAACTTCACTTAATTACTTTCACAGGCCTCTACCTCTTTACTATGGGCTTTAAAATCCCTGAGCAAATTTCCAAGGGGTCACATGATGAATCTGACATTTATATGACAGGAAAGAAGAAAAATACAGTTCTACTACACAAACTTACTTCACTCAAATCTTTTCTTGTCTTTGTGTATTTTTAATTTTTAAAGAGAAATTCAGTCTTTGGTGGGACTACTCATGCACTATGCATCCTGTGATGACGGGTTGTAAAATGTTGTAAACGCTGCTTAATTTAAAAGGCAAAATGTTTGAGTACAAATGTTCTACACTAGTGGTAAACCCACAAATGGGACACAAACACACAACCAGGGACAAAGAAGACAGAAAACACATTTCCATGTCACACAACTTTAATAGAATATTTTAACTAACTCTGTACAAATTGAAAAGAAATATTGCGCAAGTAACAAATTGTGAATAAGAACCAGTTAAGGCCATTGCTAGCACACGGTCCAATGTGGTAGATTTGAAGATGTCAACCGTGGCTCTGAGAGATCTGTCCAACAAGATCTACAATCGTTCTTTTTAAAAAGAGAGAAAGGGTGGGTTATTATTTAGCTGTCGCTGCTATCGATGACCAGCCACCAGGCAAAGGGGTCCAACCAAACGGCCGAAATCCAAGAGCAGTATATAAAATACATTGGCAACCTCTTCCATTTGTTTTCCACAGACATTCTACAGAATTATCAGACAATAACAGAAATATTTATATATTCTTAAACAACTTTAAATGCTGAATTAGATTACACTGTGTTAATGACAATTGGCAGACAATTTCATAAAAGAGGACGGTGTTTTGTCTTCCATTTTGGCTTCTTGGCAACAGAAGTTAAATTTATTCCAAACATCCTGCACCCTGTCCCATCACTAAATGAAATTTGTTAAGAACTACATACATACATACCAGAAGAGATCTCTTATAAACCACAAAAGGTGGAGTGTCAGCCAGTGTGTCTGCTTAGATCTGTCATCTCATTTACCAGACTACATGTGATGCTTGGGAAATCCTTGTCTTAATTTCATTCTTTCTAACAGAAATTAAAAGAGCATTTCACGGATGATGGGGAAATCAGGAAAGAGTCATTTTGGAGGTTATATCTGAGGTATAACCACACGCCTGTCACATGATCTTAATTAGTGTTACGTGTCTACTCAAGTGCTCAGTTTAAATGCTTGTTAAACCCAGTACACCTGGGCAGTAGTGAGCAGTATTAACGGAGAACACAGTTCCTCAATGTTTCAAATGCATTTTGATCATAAAAACACAGCTTGGCAGTATTCACGTTTTGTTGACCTGCTAAGCCCAAATGTTTGAACCAATGAAAAGGGGGACCTATAACTGTAGCTGGGCCTTAAAGAGATCTCAAAATGCACCACTTCATACAGCTGCATGACACCAGAATAAATAGTCCAATGACATGACAATGAACATTTAAAAAATTGTAAATTAAATTCAAAATGATACATTGTATGTCTCTTAAAAAAAAAAAACACCATAACAAAAGAAAAACACTTCAGCAACCCCAGTGAAAGATTAAGTCAAAGTTGTTCAGCAGTTTCCTGGTTAACTATCACTTCTCTTGTTGGCATTAAAAAACCCTGAGTAACTGATTTATTTCCATGAAACTAAAGTTGGGATCCATTCTGTTCCTCTTTTTTTTCTTTTTTTTCTTTTTTATATAGATGATGATGATCTCACTTTTTTGGCAGTAGTAACCTACCCTACCTTACCAAGGAAGAAGAAGACTGTCCCTAACTGATGCCATGGTATTTCAATTTAATTCAGGTCACTTCCTGCTTTGAGTTTGAATGAAGCCAAATAAAAAGGGGTGAGATGGGCGCAAGACAAAAGAAAAAAGTCATGCACATAGTAAAAACGCAGTTTGGTTTGCGTTCTATTGCGTTCAGGTGAGAGTTCATAAAAGGGCGGAGCCTGTAAGAGTGGGAGGACTTGCTGATTGGCTAAGATCTGAATTGACTGAGAGCAGGTCTCCACCTCCCCTGATCATCACGGTTACTGCTGTTTGCATTCGGCAGGCTGGGGCTGTTCTTTCTGTTGGGAGCAGAGAGAGGAGAAACCAGATTAGAAAATAAGGAGAAAGAGGTAATGAAGCCACAAGGCATTAACTAGCAAGTAGAGGAAGCTAAAAAGGAAGCAGACGCTAGAGAATGAAAGCACCTGGTTTGGTACAGTAAAGGGAACAGTGTTAGAAACCTGGGATGGGACTACAGGAGGAAAAACAGGACAGAAGAATAGAAGCTGCATCTACCCAAGCTGTGAGTTAAAGGTCCTAAACACCTCAGACTACTGGGAGAATTGAGGATGTAGTGAAAGAGAGAGGCAGCCCGAATAATAAACAAAAACCAATAGATGAAGACAGTGTACAGTGTATGTGGGGCGCCTTCCTTATTTCTTCCTTACCTAGAAATGCATGGGATGAGAATGATTGATTATGCCTGTAATGGAGGGGAATCCAGGGGAGGGAGAGACAACAATATGCACAAATTTAATTGTCACATTGAGAAATGACAGTGAGCATAGTGAAACATTGGTGTAGTTGGTGAATTAGCACCCTGGATTCCTGAGGCAAAACAAATAACTGATAAGCTGACAGCAGGTACCATGAGACAAAAACACAACAACTACTAAAGAAACTCATTCACAGACACAGCACTATTGTTGTTCACTCCTAGAAAAACTGCTTACAGGACATGTGATGCACTATTACTATCAGACTGGAATAGCTCATAATGGGGCATACTCATTTCAACTTAACTCCAACTGAAATAAAGCACAAAATAAAGCACTCTCTCTTTGGCTGTCATTACATAATTTTTTGAGGCATGAGAAAGTGAGAGCAGAAAAGCAAACACCTCTTTAAAACTCTACCATATGCAGAATGGATTGCATGTCTGAGCTGGTGGTGGAAAATGCAAGTAACTGACGGACAACACATTCATGCTGTGATAGCAACTGTTAAAACTGAATTTAACACAGTTCATTATACTAATTAATCCATAAGATAACATTAGTTCAACTTAATAACAAAACATAATGGTAAGTCATAAAAAAAAGTCATAGTATAGTAAGGCATAAAAACGTCATAAAATGTCATAATATAGTGAGGCATAAAAATAACAGTAAAATAAGGCATAAAAATGCATAAAACATCATAGTATAGTAAGGGATAAAAATATCAAAAACCTTTGCAGCATAGTAAGGCATAGAATGTCACAGTATAGTAAGGCATAAAAAGATTTTAAAAAACTTCATACTATAGTAAGGCATTAGAGTCGCTAATGGCGTACCACTAACAATCTGGCACTCAACATCTCAAAAACAGGGGATGATAATCAGCTTCAGGAAACAGAGTGCAGAACCTGCTCCATTACACATCAGAGGAGACACAGTGGAGAGAGTATCTTCCTTTCTTCCTTCTAAACATCACTGTTCTGATGAAGAAAGCACAGAAGCGACTGCCACAAACATCATCAGACTCATCTCACCCATGTAACCACCTTTTCACCCTGCTACCCTCTGGAAGGAGATACAGACCCTTAAGAACTCGCACTTCCAGATTCCTGGAAAGTTTTTACCCAACTGCTATTAGAGTACTTAATGGCTGAACATCAGGCTAATAAGTGCAACCATATCCTGTGAATAATACCATGAGGATGTGCAATATTATCTGTGAATTTACCTATGTGCAATAATAACTGGGTCATGGACTCACTCTACTTTTGTACTTCTGTTTTATACTATTTATTGTTTGTTTTATTTATACGTTTGGAATGTGTCTACTGTAGTTTTGATACTGTATGTACTTATGTTTACTATGTGTACTGCATGTACCCCTGGAGACACGTAATTTCATTGTACACTGTGCAATGACAATAAAGGCATTGAATACCTAATGTGCATGTCTTTTGTCTGTGGGAGGAAGTAAGACTACCAGGCGATAACCCAAACAGGCAGAGGGAGAACAAGCAAGCTCCACACAGAAAGGCACCAGGACCGGGATTCAAAGCCAGAACCTTCTGATTATGAGGCGAAAGATCTAACCACTACACCACAATGCCCCCTCATAAAGGGATCACTGTGTAGTAAGGCATAAAAATTTTGAACAAAAAAAATCTCATGCTATAGTAAGGAATAAAAAGATCAAAAAATATCACAGTATAGTAAGGCATAAAAATGTCATAAAAACATCATAGTAAGGCGTAAAATCATCAAAAAATGGCATAGTATAGTAAGGCATAAAATCATCAAAAAACGTCATAGTATAGTAAGGCATAAAATTGTCAAAAAATGGCATAGAACAATAAGGCGTAAAAATGCATAAAAATGGCATAGTATAGTAAGGCATAAAATCGTCAAAAAATGGCATAGATTGTCAAAAATGGCAGAGAACAATAAGGCGTAAAATGCATAAAAATGGCATAGTATTAGCTAAGGCCTTAAAATCCGTCAAAAAATGGCATTAGAACAATAAAGCGTTAAAAAATGCAATAAATGCATGTTAGTAGGCATGAAAATCTGTCAAAAAAAGGGCATAGATAATAGTAAGCATAAAATGTCATCAGTATTAGTAAAGTGTTAAAATTGACAAAAAACATCATAGTATAGTAAACGGCATAAAATCATTCCAAAAAATGGACATATTCTATATAAGAGCGTAAAAATGCATTAAAACGTCATAGATTATAGTAAGGCATTAAAATCATCAAAAATGGCATAGTATAGTAAGTGCGTAAAATGCATAAAAACGTCACATTAGCTTATAGTAAAGGCATAAATCATCAAAAAAATGGCCTGTATGCCTGGCGTAAAATTGCATAAACGTACAGATAGTAATGCATAAAATCAGTCAAATAAAAATGCCTAAGTATCACAGTAATGGCCCATAAAAATCGGTCTATCATTAAACGCTAATTTAACATAAACGCCGTAAAAATTTGACACAACAATGAACCCGTATTAAGTAAGGCAACGCTCCAAGCATGCATATCAAGTAGTAAGTTAGGCATAAAATCCGTTCATAAAAATGGCCATAGGTAACATGTAACGTGCAATGAAAAATAATCATATGTATAGGTAATAGGTTGTAAAATTGACACAAAAAACGTCATAGTATAGTAAGGGTGAAGCATAAAATCGTCAACAAATGGCATTATTTAGAAAAGTAAGGCGTATAAATCATCAAAAAATGGACTAGTATAAGACATAAAATCGTAAAATGCATCCTAATACGTAGATAAAGATGACATGAATAACGATCAAGTAACGTAGACTAGAAAATGCATAAAAAACGTATAGTATAGTAAAGGCTGAAAATCGTCAAAAATTGGACATAGAAACAATAAGGTAAAAGCATAAAAATGTCATAGTATAGTAAAGTGTAAAATTGACAAAAACGTCATATGTATAGTAAGGATAAAATGTCAAAAATGGATAGTTATAGTAAGGCCTAAAATACAGTAGATAGTTAAATAAATACGTGACAATAAAAGTATAAGTAAGGCATAAAATCTCAAAAAATGGCCATAATATTGACTATACAGTAGCAATACAATCGCAAAAATGGATGATATAGTAAGGCTATAAAAAATGTCATAGTATAAAGTGTAAAATTGAAAAAAAACGTCTAGTATAGTAAGGCAATAAAATAGTCAAAAATGGCCATAGTATATGTAAAGGCAGTAAAATCTCAAATGATAGATATACAGTAAAGACAAATCGTAAATCGGAATATAGACGTAAAAGAAAAACGTCATAGTATAGTAAGACATAAATCAGTCAAAAAACGTATCATAGATAATAGTAAGGCATAAGAAATCGTCAAAAAAATGGCCATAGTACTATTAAGGTATTTAAATCGTCAAGAACAATGGCATCAGTATCGTAAGGTGTAAAAATGTCAATAGATATAGTAAAGTGTAAATTGAAAAAAAAACGTCATAGTATAGATAAGCATTAAAATTGTCAAAAAAATGGCATGTTTATAGTATGAATAAAATGTCTATAGTATACTAAAGTGTAAAATTGAAAAAAACGCATAGATATAAGGAAGGCAATAAAATCGTCAAAACTGGGCTAGAATAGTAAGGCGTAACATAATGCTAAAAATGTCAATTAGTATGTAAGGCAATAAATATCAAAAAATGGCATTAGTAGTAAGGCGTTAAATCACATAAACGTAACTATAGATAAGGCATAAATCAGGCAAAAAATGGCCATAGTATAGTAAGCATAAAATGTCAAAAATGGCTAGCATAGTAGGATAAAAATGTCAATAGTAAAGTGTAAAATTGAAAAAAAAGTATAGTATAGTAAGGCATTAAAATTGTCAAAAAAATGAGCATTAGTATAGTAAGGAATAAAAATGTCATAGTATACTTAAAGTTGTAATGAAAAAAAAAAACTCCATAGTCATTAGTAAGGCAATAAATCGGTCAAAAAATGGCATGAAATAGTAGGCGTAAAATGCATAAAAATTGGCATTGTACTAGTAAGCATAAAATCATTCCAAAAATGGCAGTACAATGTAAGATGTAAAATACTAAAAAATCATAGTATAGTAAAGGCATAATCATCAAAAAATTGGCCATGCAGTATAGTAAGGCATAAAATTGTCAAAAATGCAGTTGAGTACTAGGAAGGCGTAAGAATGCATAACTCATAGATATAGTAAGGCATAAAATCATTCACAAACAATGGCATCAGTATAGTAAGCATTTAATCACAAAAAATGGCATAGTATAAATAAGCATAAAATCAATCAAAAATGCATTAAGTATAGTTAAGGTGTAAAAAAATGCATAAAAATGTCTAGTATAGTAAGGCAAAAAATCATCCAAAGAATGGGCATAGTTATAGTAAGCGTAAAAATGACATAAAACGTCCGATACTATGTAAGCAGTAAAATCATCAAAAAATGGCCCATAGTATAGAAGCCATAAATCGTTCAAAAATGGGCTGTTAACGTAAGGCAATAAATGTATAGTATAGTAAGGGTAAATTGACAAAAAACGTCTTAATAGTAAGGCAGTAAAAATCGTTCAAAAATGGCATAGTATAGTAGGCATAAAATCGTCAAAAAATGGCATAGTATAGTCAAGCATAAAAATTTCATAGCTATAGTAAAGTGTAAATGACAAAAAACGTCATAGTATAAGTTAAGGCATAAAATTGTCAAAATGGATATAGCATAGTAAAGGCGTTAAAATCATCAAAAAATGGAAAGTAGTTCATAGACAGAAAATCCTGTCAAAAAATGCATAGTATCGTTAAGGTGTAAAAAATGGCATAAAAACGTCATAGTTATAGTAAGCATTAAAATGTCAAAAAATGGGCAATAGAACAATAAGGCAGTAAAAATGCATATAAAATTGTCATGTATCAAGTAAAGTGTAAAATTGACCAAAAACGTGCATAGCTAATAGTAAGGGCATAAATT